CCAATGACACAGCACAATCTCCTGGATTGCTTTCAAGAGTCACTGGGAGATTGATTCTGATTTTGGGAGACTCCCAGTGAATACAGGAGGGTTGGAAACCCAATATATGAGCCAGCCCACAACAGTGACATTTTCCTATGTATGTGTAAGACCCACACACATACATGAGTTGTATATTTTTGGGGGGTGTTTTTTTAAGTGGGCGAGATGGCCCCTGTGTTTCGGCCACGTGCTCAGCACATGGCAAGCTGGGGCTTGTATCTGGGGGAAATATATAAAACCCTTTGGCCTCATTAGCCAAGGGAAGCAGAGGATTCTTCAGGCAGATTGGTTGGGAGAGGAACAGGAGTGTGGTGCTCCCTAGCTGGACAAGGCCAGGGTGATGACATGCAAAGGGATATAAGGGGAGCTAGGCTGGTTTGGGGGGAAGGGAGAAGCTGCTAGGCCCGCTAGGGGCTGCTGAAGAGTGAAGTCTCCTCTAAGGGAAAAGGAGTGTGCAGGTAGCAAAAAAGGAAGCTCAGATAGAGGGGAAAGAGAGGGAGAATAGTTCCTTTCTATATAGGTGCATCCAAATTAGCAATAGTACATATGTCTCCCAGTACTTCAGTAAATTATCCTTCACTGAGTAGGAATATTGTCTATCATCAGAATATTGGCTGAGTAGGAACAGGCTGTACTATTTAATTTCATAGGTGACTAATTTGGTGTTTCCACTGTCTTCTTTCTATATTGATCCAATTTTCACATTGTTTTGCTGCATCAGTGTCTTCCTCTTCTTTCACTTAACAATGTTTTGAGCTTTCTAATCCCTTTCTTCTTACCCTGCAGTTTTTTGATAATATTAATGATAAATTTAACCTCTATCATTATCCTGAGCAGACCAATATAGCAATGAATATTAATAACTTTCTACCCCTGCAAAACAGCATTGTCTTTCCTGTGTTCACTAGTCATACAAAACATAATTCATCAGGTCACATTTTATCCAGGTGACTGTTCTTATTTATTATCACTTATCAAAACTCTGGACAGATGTGAAACGTCTTTTTGCTCTGCTGACTAATGAGGAAAAATAAAATGTTCACCCCAAATTAGAATGCTGCAGCGTTGTTAGAAATGGAACATATCAAGCTCTGCCATGTGAATACCTATCAGTTGGCTTTAAATCTGATAGAGTTTGCCAGCACTCCTGGAATGAGCATAGGTCCCAACTCAGTGAAGGCTTAATGCCCAGATAATTGGGTTTCTTTTATTAAAAAACCCACTATCCCTGAGTGCAGAGGAGAAAAAAAGGTATGGAAATTTAGCAATAGAATTAGTAGAAGTCACAAGGAAGTCTGGAATGTAATTAAAGTCCATAGGGCTGTATGTGAAGATAGGTTTATGGAGCCTTTCTTTGGAACAGTAAAGTCATTTGTAAAATTGTGGTTCTCTTCTCTGACTGCCCATTTTTGTGATTTCTGGAAAATAACTGTTTTTGACCCATTTTGACAACCGAGGAAGCAAAATACCTAAGACAGACACTGCAGGAGTTCCTTTTGACTTATGAACTATACTAAAATCACTGACTAGTAAAAAATGATACTTAAATAAAAAAATTGAAACAGTCCTTACTACTCTTTAAGCCCTCTTCCTTTTTACTTATGACTGAGGACTGATTTGTGTATTTTTTGCTACTCCCTTGGCTCCCTGAAATTTAGATGAGAAGCATTAGTATGACTAAGCCAGTCTGCACTTGTAAGCTGTATCAGCTTTTCTGTAGCAACATCATTGCTTTCTGGAAAGTTTAATTTCAATCATCAAATCAAAACATACATTTCTAGGCCATAAAAAGCACAAAAATATTGAAATGAACAGATGTGGAGCTATTTCAGAATGCTGAACAAAACAGTGGTCAAATTTAGCTGAATCCCAGCCCACTTAAGCCTGCTATACAAAAGCCTTTAGTTGGATATCCATAGCTAAGTTATTATATCAGGGTTATACATTCAAGTCCTAGGGAGGGAACAGTCATATAGTGCACTTTGAACCTACTTAGGCCAGTTATATCTTCTACCTTTACATACCTAATCACCCCAACCTCTCATTTATTTGTGGAAATTGACTTGCTGTGGTCAGGTTTAGGATGTATGTGTTCCTCACCCTCTCTCAGAAATAGCACAGCAGAGAGAGCTGTCTGCTTTGTGTTATACTTTGCCAGACAAATTTTGCTGTGTGTAACTATCTGCACCTCTATGGATGTGGGCAATGACCCTAGCTGACTTCCTGCCCCTGGGGCAGGGGGCTGGACTTGATGATCTTCAAGGTCCCTTCCAGCCCTACTGTCTATGAAATGTTGCTGGGTGAGTTTTCTACCAGGAAGAAAAGTATTTCAAATCAACCGGAATCCTACTGGATACCAAGTGATTTGTAATTTTTAAACCACAAATCAATCGAGAGAATTTCTTCAATAAGTCTAAAGCCTTATCTACAGGAGGATTTTAATAATAGGAGGTTATGGATGCCCCTTTTTCTTTCCTTAACCATGATAATGCCTCTGGCTTTATTTTGCATTGCAAAAGGTAGGCTTTTGAGAGAGACAACTCGAAGCAGGTGGAATCCTAATGGAGATGAGGGAGAGGAGGTGTTCTTTACCTCTGCCCTGAGGAGGTAAACACCAGGTGGGGGGTAGAGGGATGACACGGGCTACTCTGGTTGACAGGAAAACCTGTCATTGCTTGGTTTCCAAGGGAGTTCACCTCCTAATATTTCAGTCTGCAGCCCTCTTGCCTTAGCCCCATGTAAAAGCCTCGTCCTTTCTGTTGGTCTGCGTCCCTAGGGAGACTGCAGGGGCCTATCTGCGTTCCTGTGTCGGGCTGTGGCACTGGGCAGAGGAGGTTTCTGGGGTGTATCAAAGTGTCCCTTTGTGTGAGGGATGATGATGGTGGCTGGGCAAGGAATGTGTGTGTGTGAGTGTGTACATGGGCAGGTTGCTGGAGAGGAGGATGTGTGCGGGTGTGTAACTGCACAGGTGTGCATGTGTGTGGCTGCACAGGGGGGTGCGTGTTAGGGCAGCTTGTCATATTTTTATGCTTTAAAGTTGCACTGTTTACAGAGTGGTGAGTTACAGTATTGTTTAAAGTTTTCTTTTATATTCAGCCTTATTTAATCATTGCTTAAGTTTTGTGTAGCCTCGTTATTATCCAAACCTTTCATTTTGCTGGTGTCTACAATAGCAGCTGGCCTTGCCTCTTGCAAGCAGTTTATGGCCTTGAGTTTGCTCACATGATGTTTCTTTCCTTTTTTATCACTGTGGGAAGATTTTCTAACACAACATAGTAATAGTTTTATTACCAGCTCAAATTACTGAACTTGGCACTTACTGGCTGAATCAGAGGGATGAAATGGTTGGGTATGTTAATGAAAGGTGATATGGGAGACCAATGGAGAATGCCCAAAGACCCTGGAAAAAGGCCAAATTAAGATGTGTGCTCATGACAGGTCTGTTTTATGCTGACAGGATAAAATATGGACAGTATGCTGACTGCAGAAAGATCAATCTGAAAGAAAAGAGTCATCAAAGGAGTAAAGCTGAAGAAAAGCATAATAGGACACAGCAAGAGATGTTAAGTGTTGTTGTGGTCATCGTAAATCCAGCCTTCAGTACCTGTCTGGACCGTCCCAGCCAACCACACATCCTTAGCTTTCTGGAACTGAGAGGCTGCCTTTTCTGTTGAGCAAAATAGTATCTGGGATTGGGTGAGATCATTGTACTAAGTGTTTTTCTCTCTCTGTACATAGAAATTGCTAACATTAGTTGTATTAATAAAGTAAGACTTTGATTTTAGGACACTGAGTTGTCTGTGTTCATCTTTAAGGGTTAATTGTGCTTCAACAATTCCTAAGCACTATCTGGTGGACAGTGGTGCAAACAGGCACTTGTGCGTGTGTGGCTGGGCAGCTTAGCGCGCGCGTGTGTGTGTGGAGTGGGGACTGGGCAGTTTATGGGAGTGTGTGTGAGTATGCGTGGGACTGGGCAAGTTACTGGTGTGTGCATGGGGGGTGCTGGATGGATTACTGGGCTGGGTGTGTGTTGTGGGTGGTGGGCAGGTTATTGTGTTTGTGGCTGGGCAAAGTACTGTGTGTGGAGGGGAGCAGGTTACTAGGGTGTGTGTGTGGGGGACTGGGCAGGTTATTGAGGGGGGGGTGTGGCTGGGCAA